CAGTAATGGTTATGACGTGAGAGATCCCCCCACACAGAGATCTACATTACTTCTATCATTGTGCTTTCTTGTCCTTTCACGTCCTGGTCTTTATACTGGAAGCTTAGGCCTCTCTGCGGCCTTTGGAAAGGACCACAGCTCATGACATATTTCTTTTAAACAAGTGACACAGGAGCTTTTATTCAACAATGCTGCTCACATTTCATTGAGAATTTAATCACATGTCATGTACCTCCCTGCAAGGAGGGTTGGGAGATAACTGACTCTAAACTGTTCATTTGTATATCCAAGACCAGATTGAAAATAGATTGGAGTGGGGGGAGGGACAACATATGCTAAAACTTGCTTATTTGGGGGCCTTATTAATTTCTAGATTTAATTTTGCTTATAAAAGTCATCATTTATATTATAATGTTAGTCTTTTGGGGCTGGAGAGATAGCTCAGTGGTTAAGAACACTGGTTGTTCTTACAGAAGACCCAGGTTCGAATCCCAGCACCCACATGGCAGCTAACAACTGTCTGTAACTCCAGTTCTAGGAGATCTGACAGCCCCTTCTGTCCACTGCGGGCATTGCATGACATGGGTGCACTTACTTACATGCAGGCAATATACGCGTACACATAAAAATAATTTTAAAAATTTAAATATAACGTTAGTCTTTTGAATGTGTGTTAATTACTTTGTTTAAAAGAATTCATTGGTGGGGCTGGAGAGATGGCTCACCAGTTAAGAACACTGGTTGTTCTTGCAGAAGACCCGGGTTCGAATCCCAGCACCCACATGACAGCTAACAACTGTCTGTAACTCCAGTCCCAGGGGATCCAACAGCCTCTTCTGACCTCTGTGGGCATTGCAGGACATGGGTGCCCCTACCTACATGCAGGTAATACACATACACATAAAATAAAAATAATAAAAAAATTCATTGGTTCATCTAGGATTCACACAAGGAAATTGAGAAAATATGAAATACACTTTTTGGTATCAACTTTCCATTTAATTCACAATTTAAAACACATTCTTAAAACATACTGCAATTTTGAGGTACATCTCTAATTCTGTAATGCTTTGGTGTTCTAGTTTCCTTATCAATGTCTTGCAAGACGATTACAGTTTTATTTGGGTCAACAAAGCAGAATTCCTGGAATTGTCAACTATTTTCAAGGCATAAAGCCAAAGTATACAGAAAACTGAGGCTCTGGGTGGGGTTGGCAATGCAGAATCATCTTCTTGATGCACACCTGATTTTCAATGGTACAGTGGAGTGGAGGTTACTGGGATGCAAACTCCAGACTTAGGACAAATCAACAGAGTATGAACTACTCAATATATGAGTAGTACTGTTACTGGCATTGTTTTATATTATTTCATGAATTGGTAGGCTTAAGGATATAAAAGTAGCACTTTGTGAGCAGGAAGAGCCTCATTTTTATTTTAATTTTTCATTTTATTTATTTATTTATTTATGTATTTATTTATTTATTTATTTATTGTTTATCTTTTTGAGACAGGGTCTCCCTGCAGCCCCAGCTGGCCTGGAACTCACTTTGTGGACCAGGCTGGCCTTGAACTTACAACAGATTCACCTGCCTCTGCCTCCCAAGTGCTGGGATTAAAGGTGTGTGCCACCACACTCTTTTATTTTTATATGTGGGTATTGAAGAAAGTCTGGAAAGTTTTCATTCCTAAATTGTCCCTGCTGATCAAAATCTTGGACACTAGTTTCAATGGTGTTATCTCCTTTCTTTCTTACCTCTCTCCCATTGTTTTAGTGTGCTTTCCTTGGCTGTGACAAAAATACCTGACAGAACTACTTAAAAGAAGAAATTATTCACTTTGGTTCACAGTTTCAGAGAGTTCATCCCACAGTCTGGGCCCGTTGAGGGCAGCTGAACATCATGGCATGGGGGCATGTGGCACAGGCCTCTCACTCATGGTAGCCAGGAGACAGAGAAAGAAACAGAGATGAATCTAGGGTAAGATATAGCTTCCAAGGACATGCCTCCTTAATCTAGGTGCCATCTTCTAGAACATTCCAAAATAGCATCACAGCTAGGGACCAATCATTCAGTATATGAGCATGTGAGAGGAATATATCATATTCAAACATAGTTGCCATCATCTCCTGTCCTCTCCCTTCTTGAACTCTTTTCTTACTGACTGTACCTGTGCTGTGGACAGCTCAGGCTTTGTAGGCTTCTGTTTTCTCTCACCTTTCTCTCTCTCTCTCTTTTTTTTTTTTTTTCTGAGATAGGGTCTCTCTGTAGCCCCAGCTAGCCTGGAAGTCACTATGTAGACCAGGCTGGCCTTGAACTCTCAGAGATCTGCCTGCCTCTGCCTCCCGAGTGCTAGGATTAAAGGTGTGCACTACCATGCCTGGCTTTTCAAGTTTTATTTTTTTTAATTAATTTATTTATTTTTGTTCTCACACCCTTTTAAATGTTCTCTTTTTCATAATTCCTAGGAGGAGCTTCCAAATTTGCAGATATTACTCTATTTCTCTCTGGCTAAACACCTTTGATGACTTCCCAGTCCTTCAAAGGAAAGCTTAAATGGCTCACAAGACTATCGATGATCTTGCCTTAGCCTGTCTTTTAAAATTTTCCTCTATAAAGCAAGCCAACTCAAACCAGGGAAACACCCACCATCAGGACCTCCTGTCTGTGGTACGTTGTATACAGTGACATACTGTTTTCCTGGAGAGAGGTGACCTGCTCTTTCCTCCTCTACCTGAAAAATGATTACTTTTGTTCCTGTACAATTGTCATTTTCTCTTTTCCAGCATTCAATTCATGATTCTATGGAGCCATGCAGACCCAATCAATCACCATTGCCGTGTGTGTGTGTGTGTGTGTGTGTGTGTGTGTGTGTACACCTACTACATTGCATTACTGTCTTCCTCCAGGACTGAAACCTTCTTCAAAGCAGAGACAACATCTTATTCTTTCAATTCCTAGTTCTTAGCACATCAACATGCCTAGAAAATGACTCAATATGATGGAGGTAATTAACATATTATTTGAATATTTCTCATCTTCTAGATGAGGAAGCTAATGCTTTCAGAGATTAAATAATTTGTATAAAGTCACATGGTATGATTAAAACCTAAGTTAGACTCTGAAGTGCATGCTATGTTGTTGACAGATGGACACAATACAAGCTCACTTTTGAAATGGCGTCAACCAACCACATTAAATCAAGATAATGAACTTCAGACAATGCAAAGAAAGCCCACTGTGACCAACTACTGACAAGGCCTAGCTTGCTCAGCAGTGCTGGTTGTTCAGAACATGGCAGTGTAGAGCACAGAGCAATGTAATACGGTTTGGCACCTCTTGGGCTTTTCAGAGGTTTTTAACTCTTGACAGCTCTCCATTCTCAGAAGAGGCCGATGTCATATTTTATAGGTGTTATAACTGTCAGAAGGCAACAGAACCTGGTATTAGCTAAACTGGGCCTAGAACATTTTTTATTACTTAAACCATTTATAATTATTATTGCCTAAACTAATCTATCCCTTCAAGCTTATTTCTGGCTGAAAGTAATATGTCAAGTGGAAATAGATGCTCAGTGGAGGACTGGATACAACATTGCAGGGTTTGTCGAGTAAAAGCATATCTGAAGCTATGAAAAGCAGACCAGAACAGCAAAGCCAGCCTAATACAGACAGCAAGATCCCTCCCAGCAACATTGCATCAGATGACTAGTTGCTAACTACATGGCTAAAGCCAAAAATATAATTCCAAAAAAAAGGTGAGGCTTCTCTAGCCTCTAATTTAATTGTGCAAGGTCTTATTAATTAATGAGATCTCTTCACCAAGGATGGTTATGGAAATCAGACAATTACCAGGTTCTTAGTCCTCTTGACTTGTTGAATGATTTCTTTTAATCAAGTGAGCTAAACATACAATTTCTAGTAATTCACTAATTCAGCAAGATATCCTAAGCTACTTAAAAATCACAAAACAAACACATTTTAAAAACCTACACAATAGCAATAAGTGTAATAGTCTGGCTGTAATGTTTTCCATTTAAAGAAATATTTCCTTTAATGATGTTGGTCCCTGCTCTGCACCAAAGGCTATTTTGATGGTTAAAATAAATATATAAACGAGTGCTGAAAGTGAACTATCCAGACGACATGGTGGTGTTAAAGAGTGTGGGTTAGTGACATAAGATGGGTCAGTGAAAAGGACTTCATGTACTACTTACAACCCACTCCCCCCAATCCCCCCAAGTCATCACTCTTAGAGCCTTTTTTTCCTTGGGACTGTAAGAAGGAAAAGATTTGCTTTATTTAGACTTTGTGCAGCCCAGGATTTGTATGGATATTGATAAATTAGATGCTTCGCCATTAAATTAGAATGGTATGGTATCTACTGCTTTGAAGAACAGCTAGCTGTTTTCTCGCGGGAGCCCACCTAGGCACTTTCTGTGGAGAACAGAGCCACTCTTTTCCTTTCTGAACCCTGGGTGAAAGCCTTATCTCATTGCAAGTTCTCTGCGACATTTTGCTCTGTCTTGATTTAGTGCACCAAAGAGGATGTTTAACTCTCGGTCTACACCAGTGCAAATAAAGGTTAAATCTCTCACCAACCATCGTGAACTAGCCTAATAACTCACTAGAGGCTCTGGAAAAAGAACCCGAGAAGGCAGGTGTGCAGACTTGATTAAATCATGCAAAACCCGCACGACCGCAGGCGAACGTACTACATCTTCCCGTCTCTGCCGTGCCCACTGCGAGGTCAGCAAGCAGGGAAACTTCCACTGCACCAAAACCGCGATCCGAGAGTGGGGCCTAGTAACACGGGGGCGGTTCTCCAACTCCCTGTCCCGACCCGAGCTTGCGCTGAAGGCAGGGGCTCCCATTGGCCAGGCGCCGCGGGGGAGGAGGAGACTGGAGGCGGGAGCGGGAGGAGGGGAGGCCGGCCTTGCCCTGCCCCCTTCGGCCCCTCCGCCTTCAGCGTGGTTACTATGCAAATTGCAGCGATTGCGGAAATAAACAAGGGGGTAGGGAGAGGAAAGAGGGGCTGCCGGAGCGATCGCAACTTCTGCAAAGTCCTTTACAAGCACACCAAGCAAAGCCAGAGGGAATCTGAGAACCAACCAGCCCGGGTTAGAGCGGATCGCTTTCAAAGAGGAGAGAGAGAGAGAGAGAGAGAGAGAGAGAGAGAGAGAGAGAGGCAGACTGCGAGAGAGGGAGAGGTTGGGAGAGGGAGAGAGCGCGCTTTGCAATTGCAGAAGCCTTTTGATTTGGAGTTAAAAAAAAAAATTCTCCAAGAAGCCTGCAATTGGCCAACAGCTTTTAAAAAATCTCTTCCGGGTTTTCAACGGTTCCAAGTTTATTTAGAATTTTTTAATGCAAAAAAGGGGGGACAGCAAATGAAGCCATTCGTCTGAGCATTTTAAAGTTTCTCACGTACTCTTTTTACATTGCAATGGTACGTGGTACATCTTAAAACTTTCTATTTTACATTTATACGATACGCGTTTTATAAACGGTAGAATGATTATGCTTAATGGCTAAGACTTTAAATTTCTCTAGCTCGAATATGCACTTAAGTGATTGCTGGCTAAGTGTCTATTGTGATGGTTTTCTTTTAAAGATGCAGCTTTGTGGGTGGCGTTTCTGTTATGTGCAGCAGAGACCGGGTTTCCTTTTTTTCAGGATTTGAAAAAATTGCTGAGCTTAACAGATTTTTTTTTTCTCCTAGCGCTTCCAGAAAGGGGTGGTGGTGGTGGTGGTGGTGGTGGGGGTGGTGGTGGTGGTGGGGTGGGGTGGGGGAGAATCCTGTACGTGCTCTGCTCTGTTAAAGACGTCTGGCCTCTGCAGTCAACCTAACCCGAAAAGAAACGTCTGGACCGGGAGAATAATTGACGATCCGATCCTCTAATCATTGGGACAACACAGGAGACTGACAGAAACTCTATCCAATCACGAGAAGGCTTGGGTGTACAATGGTTCGTAATAGCCAGAGGGGGCGGGGCAGAGGAGAGCTGAAGTACTCTGCAGTTCTAAAGGGGATGGTGTGGTTCAAGCTGTCAAAGATACAAGCGCTTCCGGATTTAGCAAGCACAATAGGAAGGAGTTTTGAATTTAAGGGAAAAAAAAAGCTGACTGAGGATTTTTGCATGACTCTTGTATGCCTCTTTGCTTTGCTTTTTGCAAAAATTCTGCTAAAGAAACATTTAACTTTGCATTAGTTATTATCTCTTTATACTCGGGGAGGTTGGTAACTTGTAGAAGGTGAGGTTTAGTTGAGAACTGTGTATGTGATTTCAATCCTGCCGGAACGTTGGGAGCACCACATTGAGCTTTAGGAAGTAGTATAGTTGAGTAGTCAGCATTTCAGAACGTCTCACTAGCTTTTAGGATCGTATCAAGTCCTTTTTAAGGAAGAAGTGGGCCAGCAGCTGTTTTATAGATTTGAAAGGAAAAGGGGCAGGGGAGTGGATTTTCATGAATTCTACTGTTTCAGTTTATGGGCATGAGCTTATTAAGACTGGCCAAGTTCACATTTCTTCTTGTTAGAACAACTCTAGTGGAGGGTGCTGATGTGTGGATGATAATCCACTCCCTATTAGCTGGAGTCTGGCCCCTTGTTCAAGTTCTTAACATCAGCCTGGTGGAAACCAACAGCAGTAGCTTGTCTTGAAATGTAACTGGCAGTCTCTGGCTAAAATACATCCACCTCCTCTTCTCCCGCAGTGTCTACACCTAATTCTGTAGGAAATGAATGGAAAAAACATGGACTCTTTCCTTTTTTGTGGATTTAATTTTCATCCAACTATTTCCTGAGGCTTTGGGCCTTCTGGTCAAACCTGGTTTGGGAAGTTGATGTTGCAATTCACTTGTATGTTCAGCTCAGCAACACAATTCAGTTGGGATTGTATGCATGTAAGAAAATCTGCACCCAAGTGACCAGCAGCTCAAAAACTAGAGAAAAGAAAGGCTGGAAATGCTAGTTAATAAAGTTAGTCTTGATAATAACTATAAATGGTCTTGTCACTTAGGACTCCCAGTCCTCGCTTCACTACTTTGGCCATTAAAATCTAAATCATATTAATACAGTTTCTCAATTAAGTAGTCTCTGAAATGAGAGGTATTTCAGATGTACATATAAGTGAAACTTTATTGACGTAATTTATATATCTAAGAGGATTTCACTAAAGCTGGCAAGGTATCGTTGCTGCAAATAAAACACAGTAAATGCAAGACTGGGCTCTGTGCCAGGAAGAATATGGATAGCAGAGCCCATGGCAGGAGCCTCCTTTTTGCAAAGACAGTCCTGTTTCAAGGCAGCCTCCTACCACTTGCAAAATAAATGATTGGAGCAGTTATTTCCAATAAGGGGTTTACCCTTCCTAACAATGGTCGCAATAAACTAGTTTTCACACTTCACCTGTGTTCCCTACAGTGACATCTCTAGTCCAGGTTCTCTCTCTCTCTCTCTCTCTCTCTCTCTCTCTCTCTCTCTCTCTCTCTCTCTTCCTCTCCCTCCCTCCTCCCCACCCTCCCTCTTTCCCTTCCTCTTTCCCCCTTCCTTGGCCCTCTTTCCCTCTCCTTTCCCCCCCCCTTAATATCTTTGTGAACTCGAGACAAGGGTTTACTTTTGCAACCTGGGAAGAGGGAGAAAGTTAGAAATGCTTTTTAACCCGGTCTGTCCTCTGACGAACATCTGTTTCTTTGTGTGTGTTTAAATTTATGCCTGTTGGAGAGAAAGTTACCAGAAGCTATTCTGTAACTGTAACTCTTCTGTATTTTTCTCAGTCTAGTTTGCAAAGGCTGGAGTTGGAACTGGGCTTTGTAGTGTCGTTCCCCCCCCCTCTTCCCCCTTCCACCCTCCTCCCTAGCGGGGGAGGGAGCCGGAGCTGGCGCAGATAGGAGAGAAGGCAGCAGCGGATGTGGAGGGCTTTGGTGCTGAACTTGGATCCAACCCTTGCCTAGAGGGCGCAAACAATCGTCCCATATCCAAAAGTCTTACGAAGGGCGCCAAAAGTTACTTAAGATAATATTGCTAACCGCAGAATGCTGGAAATCGCGGGCACATCCACTGCTGCAACAAAAGAAGTTTCTAAAGTGGAAATATCAGCATTCAATTACTTTCCCCTATTAAAATAAAAGCAGGGCGGCGTGCCAGTTCTTAAAAAAAATTTCCCCTTGAGAATCAAAAGTAAGAATCTTTGCTGTTTTGAAAAGAGGCAGATGTGAAGTGTATCTTTTAATACACCAAAAGAAAAATTTTAAACCACTCTGGAAGAGAGTCCCCGGAGTAAGCACGGGACAATGTCCTCTCACTGTGCCTCAGTTACATGTTGGGTCCCTCAGCCAGAAACGTCTGTCTAGGAAACTTGGAGCGCGTTGAAGTTATAGATCCCAGCAAAGGGTTTCGAGGCCAGGAATACTGTCTCAGTGACTCCTCTAGCTTGGAGGACATTCCTCCCCTACTGAAACCCTGGAAAAACCAAGGAAAGGCAGTTGCTAATTTTGGGGAAAATGGATGTTCTAATTAAAAGTTGAAGTTTTAATTTTCCTTCAATCCCTAGTAAGTGATCTGAGAGATTTCCAATAATATTCCAGAACGGGGGTGGAGGGGGGTGAGCGATAATACTTTCTTAAAATGGGGAGATATAGTAGCACTAAACAGACTAGAGAACAAACAAAATCACTTTAGAGAGACGCAGGATTGCTTGAGAGGGCTTTATTTTGCGCCTTCTCTGGTAGCATTAATGCCCCTTAAAAAAAAAAAAAAAAAAGAGTCTGAATGAAAGTGTTCAGTGGCCTTACCCAGTGAGTCACCCTCATGTGCCTTGTGGGCACACCTGGGATTTCTCTTCAGACTCTAAGCCCCTAAACTAGGTGCAGATCCTGAGTCTGTGTGCCAGTATCGGAATTTTGGGATTTCTGAGAAGGGCTGACAAATACAGGAGGCTGTAAACTTCCAGGAGGGAGAGGAGGAGGAGAAAATGAGATGAAGGCTTGGAGGACGCAGGCATATATTTTTTTTCCAAGAGAAAAGAGTCTAGAGAGAAAATATGAAGTTAAAAAAAAGAAACAAACTGGAAGAGCAGGCTTATTGGCATCTTGCCAAACCCTAAAAACCACCCCCCTTTTCTGCCAAAACAATACTTTAGCAAACCTAAAATAATTGCAGGAAGCCCTTTTCCAATTTAAGAACTATTACCTGGGGGAGGAAAAAAAGGGATCCGCAAAGGTACCCTTCTAGAGTATCTGGGGAACAGAGACTTAAGGTGGCAGCCCACGTCCAGTTCTGGGCACATATCTGGGGACCAAAATATACCCCTCCTTAAGGGGAAGACTCTTTCACTGTTTTTTGTGTTTGTTTTGTTTTTGTTGTTGTTGTTTTCCTTCTCAACATTAAAAAAAAAAAAAGAAAGAAAGAAAAGAAAAGATGTCCCAGCTATGCTTTTGTTGTTTCCGAACGCGACAGAACTTTTTGTACGGCGTTTGTGTTCGAATCCACTAGCTCCCGAGATCTGGGAGGGAGCGTCCGCTCCTCGCTCTCCGCCTGCCTTTCTCCAGGCCCCCTCCCCCGCAACCTGGGGAGTCTTTGGGGTGAGCTTATTCCCCAGCACCCTGCTCTGAATGCCACGGGACCCAAGCTACTCTAAGTTAGCAGGCTTTTGTGCATAATTACCTCTACCGACGACTCTATTCCCACAGAAAGCTTAGCTGGAGAGATTACAATGCTTTGAGCCGTACCGCATTTCAGAGGAGGGAAAAAAAGTTACCTAGGAGGTCTGATTTTTCAAAGAAATTTGCATACATGCAAATGTGCCTCGCGCCCTCCTCCCGCGCGCTCTGGGAGCCCACCCAGCGGCCCGGGGGTGCGGGGCGACCTGGCAAAGTTGCCCAAATCCCGTACGGCCGTCCGCGCAGGGCTGCGGCGCGGGTGGGGGATGGGGGATGAGGAAAAGTAGTTTTGTTTGCTTAAGCACATCCTGTGGCAGCCTATAGCCGCCCGGAGGACACACTGGAACCGCTCCTCGCCGCGTTCACTGGCACTGCGCTCAGCCCGGCGGGGGCGGGGGCCGCGGGAGCCTGCGAACGGGCGGGCGGGTGGCCGCGCAGCCC